TGCAGTTTTTCTTTAAATTAGTATATTCTACTATTTTGAATTAAAGCACTAGTACAACACACAATGTAGTTTTTCTTTAAATTAGTATATTCTACTATTTTGAATTAAAGCACTAGTACAACACACACACAATGTAGTTTTTCTTTAAATTAGTATATTCTACTATTTTGAATTAAAGCACTAGTACAACACACAATGTAGTTTTTCTTTAAATTAGTATATTCTACTATTTTTAACTAAAGCACTAGTACAACACACACAATGTAGTTTTCTTTAAATTAGTATATTCTACTATTTTTAACTAAAGCACTAGTACAACACACAATGTAGTTTTTCTTTAAATTAGTATATTCTACTATTTTGAATTAAAGCACTAGTACAACACACAATGTAGTTTTCTTTAAATTAGTATATTCTACTATTTTGAATTAAAGCACTAGTACAACACATGTGTTGTACTAGTGCTTTAGTTAAAAATAGTAGAATATACTAATTTAAAGAAAAACTACATTGTGTGTTGTGTGTTGTACTAGTGCTTTAATTCAAAATAGTAGAATATACTAATTTAAAGGAATTAAAGCACTAGTATCACACTTGTAGCAATTTTTTTTTCTGATCTACTAGAACCTTTACCAACAGCTAAGTTTTTGTTTTGTTTCCTAGCTATAGCTTGGGATCCAACTCAGACTAGGTTAGCTATATGCTGTTCTACCAATTATGTGTATTTTTGGTCTCCATCTGGATGTCTTTGTGTGGAAATACCTAGTGAAGGTAAAGTTTTATTTGTGTAATGTCATGGAAGTCATTACAGTATGGAAATATGCTGTTTATAAATTAATAAGTTCAGTTTAGTGTAATATAAACTTTTATTTCAAACAACCAGGCATATAGAGAACTTTTTACTTTACTCCCATGGACCTGTATTGTGCCCAGCATTCCTTGTTACTCTTGTCAATACTGTTATCAGCATTGTCATTGTTAGTAGGACCTTATAGTAGTTATCCTGAAATATGTATCATGTTTAGAAGTTAGATTAAATGGGTCAATGACTTTTAAACCAACAGTGGGAGGTCATACTAGTTTGATTCTTAAGTATAAACATGTAGTATGGAAGACAAACCATTTGTTCTTATTTTAGATGTTATAAAAAAAATTCAACGATCATTTCATTAAATAACACTAATATTAGAGCATTGGTAAAAGGTTTAGAAATAGCAGAAATCCAGTAGCTTTAATAACGGTTTATAGAAAATGTCTTTTTATTTTTTGGCATACCGTATACACTTCTATCTCTAAGGTTTTGACTTAAATTGCTAATTTTACATATTCTTACAGTATGGTTACTATTAATGTAATAAATCTCATAAGTATATAGTATTATTTTTGGTAAAAACACAATGCAGTACATTATGTTAAAGATGTAAGTAATCAGTATGGTTAAGTCAGCACTAAAGTATTAATAGCTGTTAATGTTAGGAAGTTATTGATATTCCTGGTCTGTATGAAACAGGATTAAATTGAATCTGTGATAATTTATTCAGTATTGCATTTCTAATGTGTATGTAGATTTACTAAGTACTTCAGTTTTTGATGTGTATCACCTTTATAAATTTGACAGATTTACCTTTATGTGTATGCTGCTTGTGAGATTTTGGTGACTTGTATTTATAACTTAAGTCATTTCAGTTTTGTTTATTAATTGGGCTTTACATGTACAGTAACTGTGTTACAGCTTATTACTTGTGTATGTATGTATATATATATGCTTTTAGGGTTATCTTAATGAATTGGGAACTATAATGCAAATTTTACACACCACGTTTAACAAGATTTGTGCATAACTCGGAAGATAACTGCAATATGTTAAAAGTTCTAATACTTGTGCTTTTTTTAGGTGTATCTTATTAAACTGAGTCTAACATGCCAAAGTTTGCATGCTTCAACAAAATCTTTATGTATTTCAAAAAGTTAAATTTTCCAAAATTTAAAGAAATGGAGCAAATTTCTCAGTGCAACAGTTTGATATCTGAAGATTAATATATCAAACATTTATAAATTAGATTAGGATTAAATCATATATGTTTCACTGTCTTTATTTCTGTTTTCTATACACTTCTAGATAAATATCTATTTTAACCACTTAATTGGCTATTTGTTTAAACTAACCTCAACAGATTAGTTGAGCCAAAAAGTGATTTTCTTTAATATCGTTAATCTATAAAAGCTGAACTTATCCCTCCTAATATGAAATATATTTGCTCGTGTTAGATATTTTATCAGCTGAGGATTACAGTTTCGAGCCTTATAAGTTCTCCTAAACTTATATAGAGTAATGATGATGAATATTCCCCAAATGAGATTTTTAGGTCAGCTGCATTTGTGTAACAAATTGTGTAGAATTTGTTTTTATGCATAAACACTTGTAATTTTCATGCTGAAATAGAATTTGAAAAGGAGCTATCTATTATATAGTTAGAAATTATTACTAAGATCTTATGCATGAAAGTTAACTCAAATACTTCATACACACACATACAAATACACATAGTTGAACCATTTGGTCAACATGCACAATCATTGATCTAGCTTGGCTGATGAGAGCTTGTATAGCACTTCAGCTGATCACAAATATCCAATGTGAACAAATGCATTTCATATCAGGTGAAACAAGTTTGTCTCCTACAATAGCATGTTAGTTATCTGTTTTTCAAACTATACAGCACACAATGAAAAACAAAATTGACCATATTAATAAGAGATGCTCTCCCATTTTTTCTTCTTGTGGACACGATTTAATAAATGTGTTTGTTATAAATTTCTTCATTAGTTTTATTTTTATTAAAGTTTACATGATTCTAATATTACTTCATTTTTGAAAGTATGTAACCCTAACAATATCATCAAGTGGTCACATAAACAAATTTCAGTACTTGTGATAAGGCTGTGACAATTGGATATCTGTTATGTAAAACTAACCATATTATCAAGTGGTCACATAAACAAATTTTAGTACTTGTGGTAAGGCTGTGACAATTGGATATCTGTTATGTAAAACTAACCATATTATCAAGTGGTCACATAAACAAATTTTAGTACTTGTGGTAAGGCTGTCACAATCAGATATCTGTTGTGGTTATGTAACCCTAACCATATTATCAAGTGGTCACATAAACAAATTTCAGTACTTGTGGTAAGGCTGTGACAATCAGATATTTGTTGTTGTTGTGGTTAGTAGCCTATATGATTACTGAAGTCTAGTTACTGATTAGCTACTAACCTTTTTTCTTATTTGTTACACACTAATTACTTTATATCCAACATTTTTTTGATAATATGATGATGGTTTTTTAGGAAGTTCTGAGTAGGACTGTATGTGTGGTTGTAGGAGCTGGAAAACTTTCCTAGGCTTTTGTGTTCAGGAACGTCTTAAATAGGTCAGTGTGGGGATGCAGGAACTGGGATTCAACTCTATATGTTGTTAGACAGACAATACGTTATCCACTTGTCTGAATCCAATATTGAATCTCAGCTTCTGCTACCACATACAGTCCTTCTAAGGACTTTATTTATGATGTAAATAAATAATCAACTAAAATATAAGACATAAAGTAATTGATAATTAAAATCTAATAAATAAACATATAAAAATACAACTAATTACTGGAATTATGGCCAAAAACATCACTAACAGCAGCAGTACTGATAAAACAATGAATTATATTTATTATAAGTAAGAACATAAACATAGAATCAGCTGGGTGAATGTTTAGTTTTGATCTATGTAGGTAGCTTGCTGTGAAAAAAAAAAATGTTAATCAGTAACTAGACTTAGATGTTTGTATGGTCTACTAACCATGTCAATGAACTAAATATCAAGTGGTTCTGAATGAGTTTACTAAACCTATGCCAGAAATTAAAGGACCTTCAGTATGCAGACTGGATAATACAATTACTCTAGAATTGAAGCAAATAATCCTCATAGTAAATAAATTGATCATACTGAACATACATAGCTCCCACAAGGGCCAACAACAAAATGTGTTGTATTTGATACACTTGGTGATCCATGATTTAATTGCCTTTAATATGACGTTTTTTTCTACATGTATCTTGAACTTTAATCTAATGATAACAAAATGTTTCTTGCATGATATAATATAGATTGTGTTTATTTAGGTGTATCATTTGATTGCTTTAGTAATTTTGAACTTACTGTTCGATATGATTTTGTTCTGTGTTTTTATTTCAAGTGTCCTCAGTTCCCATACACTATACCAAAAGTCCTTATTATGCAGTGTATGCCACAAATGCTATATTTTCCAGCTTTATAGAAAATGTCTAATCAAAACACTTATGAATAGACTAAATGAATGCCTCTATAATACAGCTACTATTAGTATATGTGGTGACTAACTTCACTGTAGAGGAACTGGTTCAGTTGTTTCAGGAGTATCTATTATTGAAGAAACAAATTACTTACAAGCAATAAATTAGAATTGTATTTTTCACCTTTGAATTATTGCTCGATAATTATGTTAGAAATTGTGTTTGCACCGTATGCATTCTGTTATTAAGTTTTACTTATGAATATGTTGTGAGTTTATTATGACAAGAGGTTCCAAGAACCTTTTGCCTCAACTGCATTGTGAGATGTTATGTCAAGAAATTTCAAATATTATTGTTTGACTTCTGTAACCATGGTAATGTCACACACTCTAGCTCAAGGCCATACAAGGAGCATAGTAGGTGAACCTTAAGTGAAATTGGTATGCTGTGTTTTACTTAACTAGTGTAGTTGCATATATCTTGCCAGATAATTATCATGTAAATACTGTTGTGCATTCTGTAAATCATTGCACATAATTTCTTAAAGTTTCTGTATAATATCATTCTTTAAAATTAGTCTATGATATTTGTGATTGAGTTAGTTTTTTAATTAGTTCTTAGTAGGTTTATAAGTTAGGTGTAAAAAATGTGATTTGAAAGTTTAGTGAGTTGCATCATATTCTTGAAGCTTTACAAATAAATTATCATATTTCAACAGATACATGTTTCAATAGGTAATAATGTAACACACATTAAGTATCTATAACCAGTGTAAAAACATTTTTTCATGTGTGATGTTATGATAAATGAATAATTGATTGTGAATTTCATTGTAAAGAACTTCATATTGGTAATTGTTTATATACAAACTACAAAGAAAGTTGATAATGTTAATATTGAATGTTTGAATGGTGTCCACACCTTTCCATCTATCTTAAGAATGAAATATACTATAAGAAGAGTCATCATCCAGTAAATAAACATTTTTTTATGTTTTGATAAACATTTACTTTTTCTGCTGAAAAAGATAATGCTACTTAAGTAAACAAAGACATTTCCCTGTCACTATTATTTCGATTCACTAACAGCAATTATTTAGTAGCATTTTGTAGACATTTTATGTCTATTTTAAATGCCAATAGCATTACTGTTTCTCAACCATTGTCTCTTCCCTGTTTGTTTTGTAAAGCAGCAAGCAAAGTTAATAGTTTACTGAAAGTTAAAATATAGGACTTAACACTTAATAGTGCGCAGAATTTAAAACCAAAACTGTTATCCAATGTACAAATGTGTTGTGAGTACAAAATTAAGTATTTTTTGTGAGATATTGTACACCTATTGAATTCTTTCTTGGGGGCAGGGGCTCCTTATAGGTAAGCATTTTAGTTTTTCACACATTTGAGTACTGTTTGATATAGTGTGAAATAATGGTCAGTTTATCTATCTGTTCATCCATATAGGTCTCTTCAATGCCAATTCAGTAAAATGGCATTCCAGTGGAGAAAGTTTGCTGTTGATGAGCAAGGATAGTATGTGTGTCTGTTACCTTTCTTCCTGATGAAATGTTCTTGCTTGTATGAGGGTAAAAAGATCAACAGAAAATCAGACTAGTTGGTATCAAGATAACATTTTGTTTATTCAACTAATAATGCAAATCATTGCATTTATAATGAAGTCAAAGATAATTCTAGATATTCCATCACATGTAAGAATTGAAAAAGAGAGGTTAGGATACACTAACCAAAAGTGTTTGCCTCAGAAGAAAAAGGATTATTTATAATAGGTTTGGAAGATTTTTTTAATGAATGTACTGTGATTAAAAATGGGTAAATATAAATAAATTGTTTGAAACTGCTGTCTTCATCTTGGTTTAGAAATATGGGATTCTTCTCTCACAAAGTAATGTAAGCAATATTGCACTCAAACTACAGGATTTTGTATTTTAGTGTATATCAACTAAATTCTTAAGTTTATGTAAATGTATGGAAGACAATTATAAATAACATAGACCTGTTACTTTGAATATTTTTCTTTGTAGAAACATTTAAACACCAGAGTCATATTTTAAAATTAAGTTGTATTAAAAGTTTATTTTATTTAGTTTCTGTAATCAAATGTATTTTCTAAAGCATGATTCACTGTACACTGTAAAACTTGCACATTCAGGTCGTGGTTTATTTTCACTTGCTGGTCTCATCTGTCTAAATTTTAAGGTTCTACTTTTCCCAAATTTCATGATGTTGATTTTTATCTGCTTAGTCGCCACAGTTATGTAAACTTCTATGTTTGTGAGCAGCTTTACATGTAAACATTTTCTTTTCTTCACTTTCTGCTTTGATCAGCTGAGAAGTAAGAAATAATACATTTGTGATCTAAATAGTTCAGTCATTTTCTTATACAATAAGCAGTTATTGTATTCTGAAACATATTCTTTACCTTGGATGAGGTTAAAAAGAAACGTACCATACCTAGCTGAAGACTGTGGCTTCCACTTGTATTGGCTATCTTTTAAATTAGATTAGAGGATATTAAGAAATGTTATATATTAACATGTTTTATATTAGAAGTTACGGGATCATAAGATAAAGAACAGATGAGTCCAGGATCTAGCTGAACAGTGCCAACCACTGTTTCCAATATACAAGTTTAAAACTTGGTGTATGAAATGTAACTTCTGAGACAGAATTCCCATATTGAGATTATATTAGATTTACCTAGCTGATCTGATGAGGACTGCTACAGTTCAAAAGATCTGGTGTGGTTTTTATTAACCCCTGTGTAGTGTCTCTTTAAATTGTAACTAATAAAACAAAAGATCATAAAAACAAATACTGATAGCTTCAAACACTGCAGCAGTGAAAAGTTCATTTTCTTTCATTGAGGGTGGTTAATACACATAGAAACTTGTATGTTGCATAACATAAACTACAGGGCAGATTATCATTCAGTATACTAAGATGTAAACAAACAGATGGTACTTGTATCTTACTGTGCAGTTACTGTTGGGTTGGATTAACTGAATTTAGCATCTTGATAGAGTGAATTTTTTTTTAATGTTTCAATAACTTTATGAAGCTTTTGTTAAAATATATAAGAAACAAACTACAATCTGAATGTTTAAAAGACTTTTATAGTACTTTCTCCTTAAATTTCTAAAACACAGCAATAATAATAAAAAAAAAAGACACATGTGGCCTTCTGGAAAATATGAACTGTTTTTATGGTGTATTGAGTGTATGTAATATTTCTTTGAAAATTGTTATTCAATAATAAACTCTATGAGTTACATAAGACTACATAAGTTACCAAGACTAAGTAGGTTGATGATTAAAAATGTCACCCACTCAAATTCTATATACTTCAAGTATAAAAAGTCGTGTTTTTGTTTCACCCACCCACCTTTATATCTTTCCTTTGTGAGGTGATCAGGTGGACTTAGCACTCATGGTGTCTATTTGTGGTGGACAAATGTGTACCTGTGTTTATTGATATCTGCTATCAAACTTAAAGCATGTAACAAAGCATACAATATTAGCAGTTCTGCCCTGCAGTTTTTGAATTTGACCAACTTTGTTGGATGCTTTTGAATGGCCTGCTTTTTTTGAAAATGTTGATATTGTTGTATTTCTTTAATTATAATTTTTCTCCTTCAGTGAACGAGCTTGATTTACTAGTTTTATTGGGTGACATTCATTTATTGACTTGTTTGGCTTGATCAAACTTGACATCACTCAGTACTGATTATCCTGTAGACCAAATACATTTCTTATTGAAACGTATAAAACTGTAAAAGGAAGAAAACACGATATATAAGTATAGGTATACGACTGTAACATCATTTCCTTTCAAAAGGCTACAAAAGTCGGTGTATGAAAAAAAATACATTAAACTCATAATTTTTGTTCTTCATCATATCCGTCATTTAATTATTTTGTTACTTTTATAATATTTATCACACATTTTTTTCAGTTATTTTCCGTTGCATTGACTCTTATGGAAATATATCACACCGTTATTCTACTGTTTGGCTAAGTCTGATCGGTTCCTAAAGTTGGGCGTGGGTGTACGTGTGATATTATATAAGTCAAAGTTTTACTTCATGACGTTCGATATTCTATCTGTAAGATATGTTTGTGTTTAAAACACTGTTTTACAAGCAATGACAGAAGGTTCTAAACTGGTGTCCTTCTGGTATGTGAATATACCATGATTTTTTATATTCGGGGCCAGTGCAAACACTAGGCACACTTCGCAGTTGTGTGGGCGAAAATAATACTGTTGGGACAGACACTTGCCACGCGCTATATTTCTCGTTTTAGATTTTACAAATACGGTGTGTTAATTAAGCTATTTTAACGAATCTATTTGACTGCTATTGTTTCATTAACAATTCTACTCGAAACACGACAAATAAAGTGTTGATTCTCACTTTTACTTTAGCAGTATTACGTTACGATATTATTAAATACTATAGTCAACGTATTTTTATTAAACTATTTATCCAGAGCCACTAAAAGCTGTAGAACAATAGGTGCTGACAATTATTATCTTGATTCAGGTCAAATAAAGTCAACACATTTGGATTTTGAAGGTATGCCTAGGGCCTTAAATACACTTGCATCGGCTCTGTTTATCTTCTTGTTGTGTCGAGGAAATCATTAAGTGTAACTTGTTTTGTTTTGTATTTGAAGTTAAGCACAAAGCTACACAATGAGCTATCTGTGCTCTGCCCACCACGGGTATCGAAACCCGGATTCTAGCGTTGTAAGTCCGCAGACATACCGCTGTTCCACCGGGGGGCATGTAACTTGTTACTCCCAATGGAGAACGTTGCTTAATGCGACCTTGTGTAGGGATATCGAGAGCAATATGTCCTTCAACTGTTATTCAGGGAATACCTACTCACTACCGCTTCATGTACGTATAACGAGAATAACTTGTAAGGTGGTCTGTGTAACTTCGAGGTTTCTTCAAACCCAAGAGCAGTAGAGTACAAGCCAAGCTTAGGTAAGTTAAATGTATAGGTAGAACGCTTGGAAGAGTGGTGAAGAAAGATAGTATTTGATACTCTGACCAAGTGTCTTGTCTAAATCCAACAAGTGTCTGCGCAATTAATTGTGTTGAGTGACTTAATAAAGATTGCTTGTTGCTTCTTGTCTAATCTCCATATTTCATGTAACTTACTTTCAGTTAGTAATCATTTTTAGTATCACTCCGTAATTCCATATTTTGATCAAATCTCGTGTTTTTCAGACCTATCGGTAAACTTCAAATCTAAATTCAGTTTACCACACATATGAGGAATAGTCATAAAGCACTGAGCTGAACATTGAGCAACACTTATTAATTTGTCAAAGTATTAAGATCCACGTCTTGTATCTTTACTTAGTTTGGAAGTTTAATTTTCTTTATCTTCCACGTGTACAACGCTCTGAAACTACAACTACTCAACTTCCGCATAAATTTTTAGCGTTTTATTTGAAAGTTGTGCTGTTTAGGTAGGTACAAAGTCATTATATGTTCGAGTTATAGCACTATCTTTAGAGATAATTTCAAGTATAATTGGTCATAATGAATTATTCGACCTGGAAAATGGTAATTCGAAAATTATTTCGAGCATTGGGAGATATATATATATATGTAGGCAAATGAAAGTTTTTGACTTAAAAATGTGTTTAAAATATTTTACATTTTGGAACAGAAACGGAAAAATTAAAAGCAGCTACTAGTGCCCTTTATGATATAGTTAGTTTGTTTTTGAATTTCCCGCAATGCTACACGAGGGCTATCTGCGCTAGCCGTCCCTAATTTAGCAGTGTAAGACTAGAGGGAAGGCAGCTAGTCATCACCACCCACCGCTAATTCTTGGGCTGCTCTTTTACCAACGAATAGTGGGACTGACCGTCACATTATAACACCTCCACGGCTGAAAGGGCGAGCATGTTTGGTGTGACGGGGATTCGAACCAGCGGCCCTCGGATTGCGAGTCGAGCACCCTAACCACCTGGCCGTGCCGGGCCGATATAGTTAGTAAGAAAAACTATTCAATTGAACACCATGCAAGTTATATAATCCTCATAGTGGACTTAAAACGATGAATGTAATTAAACTTTTATTTTACTTTATGAAAAAGAATATATTTACTCGTTCGAGTAAAATTAAGCTGGAAAGAAAAACATAAAACTGGCTAAACACCCATGAACTAATTTTTACATATATAAAAAAAACGTTTGTGAGATAGGATGTTATTCATATTTCGTACCTGTTTCTAACTTTGGAAGTTATTACCACAGAAGTATTTTGGATAATAAATGTGAAGGAAACATTACGTTAGAAATACGTTTTATTTATCTGTGTAAATACGAAATACTAGTAGATGACAAATTGTCAACAAACGTCTTAACAACCGTTTCTAAGGGTACAGAGCGTCAATATCTTGTGTCAAGTTCCGCTTGATTGAAACTTCTATGGACCTTTAAAGGGAAAATGGATAGGTAATACTGAAACATAGTCGTTGAAACTGTAATAGATTGATAGCTCTGTGTTGTTTAGTTTTTGAATATAATGTAAGCTTTTCGTGCTTTTTAATCTTTATAAGTTCTAATTTGTGCTTAATGTATTCTAACCGATCAATATGAGGTATAGGTATAAAATAAACTACATTATATGAAATACGTGCCTTTTTTTTTTCATGAAAAGTAGAAGTTGCACTTCAACTGATTCACTGTTCTATTTTTGTGTTTATCGATTGGGAACAGAATCTACAGGTGTTGACACACAAAAAATATTCGGTTCATTATGAATAGGCATTGAAATAAATGTCTGTTTTTCTGTTCATTTGTGTGTTTCGT